GCTGATTAAAGGTTAATAATTCAAAGCAAGAGGTTAATAATTCAAAGCACCTTAATCAGTTTAGTATGTTGGAAAACCAAGACTTTGTTTTTTGTTCTGGAATCACTACAAAATTTATCTAAAACATATTGGTAATTATAAACACAATGACCATTAATAATTGCTTCTATAAATGTCTGTGATTTCTTTGTGCAAAAAAACTTTGACCTGTATTAATACAAACCAACATTTACAAACCAACTTGAAATGCTTGAAAAGGCTTCCAGTTTAACACAAAGCAAAATATTCTTTTGCAACTACTAGCATATTGGCTTTTTAGTCCCTTATATTTGAGCTTTAGCTGTGATAAAGGCTGATTTTTTTTTTTTTTTAAGGAGAGCTTTACCTGCTGGTCTGTTTTTAGGCTATCCACTTGCTGATGAATGCCGCTTAGTAAGAAATAATACTCAGATTCTCAGAGTTCCCAAAAGCCTTTTCCCCTTGACTGTCTGTGGTCTGAGTGTGTGGCAGCATGGATGTATGAATAATTTGTAACAGAAACCTGGAGTGGAGGCTGGCTTACTAGGGGAAAAAACACCTACAGATTCTTTATTATACTTATGGTTGGGTTTAAATTCATATTTTCAATATTAGCTAATTCATAAGTCTGTGAAAAGTTTTTAGTTTGGAATTTTTTACAAATATTTGAAATCTGCATCCTTTTGTTGGATCAGCTGTAGCCTAAAAGATTAATTTTTTCCCATGTTGGAATTAACACATAGTACAAATAGGATTTAAAGGTTTTGTCTTTTTTTGGTTTGTTTTGTAAAATTGATCATTTTCCGTGTTACATTGAAGTCTGTTTGGTTTTCTTACATAATCTCTTAAAGTACAACAACAAGAAAAACTAAATTATTTTGACATTCCACAGTATTTTTATTTTATAGTAGGAATAAATTAATTGGTGCAGCAAAACATGAAAAAAAAGTCTGCCTCCAAATCGCAACTTTCAGCTCCCACCCCAAAACAAATCAACAAACCCCTTGAAGTTGTACTTAAAGCCCATAGTAATAAAGCTCTTTGAAACAATCCCACATCATACTGTGAATATCTGGAGAGTAACTTCTCCTTCTTTCTTCCTGCTTCTTGCCTCACATTTCCGTTCAGTCTTTGTGACCAATTTTATTGCAGTACCAGAGAAAAACTGGTATTACCATATTTTTTCAGGTAGCCCAGGACTCATTTTAAAGAACATCTGCCCAGAAAGCAGCTCTGAAGATGCAGGAGAAACTAGTTTACTGGAACGTAGGCCGTGTTAGGAAAGGAACATTGATTGAAGATATGAAACTGATCCTCAAGGTTCAGAGATTAGTAATTTCAGTATTTAATAATGTTGCTTAGTACTTGTACTATTTCATACTCTTGCTGTAGAGCTTTGCAAATACTACTACCCAAATTCAAAGCAAAATGCATAGTAAGAAATATATATGATTTATGCATAAAATATAAGGAGAAGAGGGGAAGAGGTAACATGCTGTTTTTTATAAATACACTGTACATGGTCTTCTATGATAAGGAAACAGCAAAGTTCTATGTAAATAGCATAAATAATCCTTTTTACTGTACATCAATACTAGTTCAGATTTGGGCTGGTTTTGGATCTATTACATGTGAATAAATTTAGAAGTTTGTTTTAACTTACTAAAATTATAGTTTTTATCAGTTTTATGATGAAGTGACAGATTGAAGAAGGTCTACAAAAAGCATTGTGTTCACGCAAGATTACAGTTTAAGGTGACAAAAAATTGGTAATAAACTTTTCACTGAAACTCAAACTTTTACCCCAAATTTGTAAGAAGTTGGACTTTGCAAATTGAAGTAAATGATAAAAGTTAGTGGTGTAACTATTTTTTTTCTTCCCAAATCCTAGCTTAAATTTGATTTTGATAAGTTTATTTCATCCCAAGAAAGAAAATCTTGATGCATCCCTTTGTTACTGATGGCTGACAAAATTCTCTTTGGTGAGTAAAAGGGCCCGTGTTAAAGTAACCTTGGGGTCACGGGGCAGGATAGTTGCAAGTCAAATCTCTTCATGATGACCTGAGAAAAATGACAAAACAGCTGGTAAGGTTGTTTTCTTTGGAGAAAGCAAAGTTCGTTACACATATCATCAATGTAAACCACACTTTTGTGTGTTGGTTGTGAAAAAGCAGACGTCCACTGCGAAACTGATTTTGTTTCCTTGAAATGAAGGCATAATTGAAAAAAAAAAACACAACCAACTGCAGAGCTATAAAAACCCACACAAACAAAAAACAACCCCTCCAAAAAACCCAAACCAAGATTTGCGGGCCAGCCTATATATGACAAGTAATTACTTTTCTTTACTCTTTGCTCTCTTCTGCTGAACATGGCTATCTAAATGCCATCTGCACGGCTGGAAGAGCCTTGTGGTGGGCTGCCTGCCAGGTGCCCTTGCAAAGGCGTACGAGTTTGCCTACAAAGTTTTGTCTCCCCAGCATTTTCTTTCAGCGCTTTGTAGACCTGGCTAGGGGCAGCGGGGGGCTGCGGGGGCCTCCGAGGGGCGAGGCCATTTCCAGCCCGCTGCAGGCGGGATGCGCGTTGAAGGCTCTGGACCGAAGGAGTGAAGTTAAGCCTGGGAAAAAGGGGAAGAAAGGCTTCGGTTAAATGTTTGTCTCTGTTTCCCACTACCTGAGTTTGTAAGGTTGGCGGGGGACCTCCCCCGCCCCCCTTCGGCCCGACCGCTGCCCCTGTCGTGCTGAGGGGGAGGCAGCCTGGCTGCTGGCCCCCGCCGACACGCCGCGCCGGGCTGCCGAAGGCAAGTTTAGCGTTGCTTTCTGGGATGTGACAACATGCGTCACCAGTCCACAATGCTGCTTTTGTGTAGCTGTGTGGAAGAAAGCGGCCTTGCCCGAGTGAATGATGGAGAGGGGAAGGAGTGTGGTGGGGGCTGACTGGGCGGGAGCCTGCTTGGGAATTAAGTCTTGGTTTGAGTGGAGAGGTGTGCTTTAAAAAACATGTGAAACAAACAAAAACCAAAAAAGGAAATAAAAGAAAAAGATTTTAAAAAGAGGGAGACCTGCTTTGCAACCCTGGAAGAACTGAAGGAGTTTGAAAGCGTCACAGATGGGAAGCGGGGAGGGAAATGAGAACCCCCTGGGCTGTGAGGGCATACTTCAGGTGGCCACTGAGCTGGTAGGAAAGGTTTTAGTTTGCGAAATAGGCTACACAGAGAAAATATAAACCAATTATGTGTTTATATTCTCTTGATTTCAAATGCTACTCCTTTAAACATGCTTTAGATTGCGCACAATGAAAGGCTTTTGATTTGCAGAAGAAAGGAGATATGTAAAAATGATTTCACATCTGGTGAATAACTTGTGTTTAGGTGGGAATGAATCAGTTGGAGTGGGTTGTAAAGGTTCACACTTAGATCTTTTTTCTCTGTTTTTAGTAGATGATTGTATATTTTACTGAATGGCAGCATATTTCATATACATTTTCAGTTCTTAATAGAACAATCTCATTGCCGCGGTTAAGCACTATCTTTTAGTTTTCTGATCTAAAATGGATGCTAAAATCTGATGGTTGGGTCTGATAGGCAGGAAAAATAATATATGTAAGATGATACATGATTTATAACATCCAGTCTAGCAGAGAGTCTCATGGATTATCTAGATGTCCTCTGTCAGAAAGTAAGATGTGGTTGATGGAGAAGGTCTCAGTGCTGAGGTGATGTGCAGGGGCAGGACCTGAGAAAATGTTCTGCGCAATGTACTGCACTTCCTGATCCGCTGCTTGGGGAAACAAGGTATAACTAATGTGTGTGGGGATCTTTGTGAAGGAAAACCTTTAGCATTTGCAAAGCAGTAATTACCTAGTCATGGAGCTGTCAGATGTGATAACAGAAGACAAGATAAATCCAAGTAGTAAACACGGTCCTGTAGCAGGTGACTGCTTCAGAAACCATCTGATGCTGTCTTTTCCTTTTCATTGTTGTCTTGAATGTTCTATAGTAATACTCCTGTAATTTGGGCATTAGCTTTTTCTGGCACCTAAATGTTTTATTATATTGAAACTGTGGCTTTTTGCATGTGAAAATGGACAGAATTTAGTATGTTCTAGTAACCATGAACAAGATAAATATTTATAACTGCATTTTTTGGTTTTGTGGGTTTTTTAGAGGTTTAAATGCTTTAACCTATAAAAAGGTGTAGGGCAATATCAGCTTTAAAAATGGGGGAAGGGGAAAAAAGTTTAACAAACTCCTTTTAACATTCTGCTTATCACATTTATGGCACTACCAGGATCCAAAGGCTAGTCCAAGAAAAACATGCAGCTAGTGGTAGTTTTTGTTTGTTTTGATCTTTCCATCCTTTTACTTTGAATTAGTCTGCCTTTACTACATTGCCAGGTAAATTAAAAGCATTTACACTGTTCCTTCAGTTTCTTACAGGAGGTTTTCATTAGCACCCCGATCTTTTGTGCCAAGCTGTCTTTCTGGTTGGCGATTCTGTCTTCATTATGTTATTTTATTTATGCAAGACAAAAGCAAGAAGGAAAAATTAAATGTGTTTTCAAGAAGACACACTGTTTTTAAAACCTACTTTTAGTTTTTCAGGACTGTTTTCCTGTATTTCCTTGTTCAGGTTGGATTTTTTGTGTAATAGTGGGATTGGAAACCTGGAGATCCATATTTAGTAATGAAGAATTATTAACCCTATTATAACTTTCTAAAAATATGTAAGTGCCCACTCTTGTGTTTTGTATGTGGTTTCCATTGATCATTTTTTCAACCTTTTATATAGATGTGAAAGGTACTTTAAGAAGGTAGGAGGAGAAAACACTTTGCAAACTACTTTATTGATTTTTAGAACAGAATACTACTATTTTCTGGTCATTGATATAAAAGCTCATTTTTCCAGGTGTACTTAATAAAGATAGCTGTGCATATAAAGATTTTCTTGGCTAGAAACTGAATATTTTCATTTTCTAAACAGGTGTCTCAATGCATGTACATACTGCAAGACTAAACATGCCAGAGGAGATCTAGCAAGTTATCCAGTTGAAGAACTAGTAGACAGAGCCATACAGTCTTTTCAAGGTAAGGAGTTTTATCCCTGCAATGAAAGTCAGCCTCTGAAGTGTACTGGGTCTTATTTTCACACGTAATGATCATGGTACAATATGGCTTTATTACAGTATTGATGTTCTTAATAGTCCTGATCATGTCTGGTAGTGCCTTTGTGGTAGAAAGCCACGCTTTCATTATGTTGTGCACCACTGTTTACAAAATCTAGTCCTACCATAGGGAGTATTTAATTTTGATTTTAATCTTGGTTGAGCGAAGTTCTGTGCAAGCGCTTTGTCGTGGTGGTGGGGAAACTGTAGTATTTGGTCATTTTACTCTATCTCTGATTTCTTAAAGGGGAAGGCAGTAACTTTTTTTCACTCAACAATAAAAGCAAATTTCATTAAATCCGTAGAATTCTTAAAATCTTTAAGCATACATTGCTTTTTCTGATAATGGATTTCCTGAAGGAGTTCTGGGATGTTTCTGAGAGCCATATAAAGCTTATCAGCTTTTAAGTTCAATAGGATATTTGTAATGTTGTATGGACCTAATCAAACATCAAAAGTTTTTCCTGCAGTACAGTACTCTGTGCCAGTATCTGCCTAAAACACTTGTATGTCTGATAGTTATGATGGCCTTATTGTACCTTAACATTTGTTCTTTATATCTAAATTTTGCCTGTGTTAAAAAAAAAATACCCAGATTTCCAAATAATGCCAGAATTAATTTCTGATGCAATCTCTGTGAAGGGACAGGTGGTGTTTTTTGTGTTTGCATGCCATTTTGAAGGATTAGACGTATATTAAAAAAATACTGAGGGAATTCAGGTGTCACATCTCCTTCCGTCTTTGTATCAAATACCTTGAATCAAAAGCAGAGCAATAAATACAGTGTATGATGTCACATTCCCTGTGCATGTGCAAACAATACGTTCATTGGCTTTCACTTACGGCTCCGAGTGTTGCAGCTGTTCTAGTAAGAAGTGGGTTTGCAATGATTCAACGTGTTTTTAAATTCATCCTTATTTAGGGATCCATAATTGACCTTATTTAGGTCACTGATGAACTTGTGCCTGTTCCTATCAGTAGTACACAAGGAAGAGTCCTTTTCCTAATCAAAGCTCATGTTCACAAATTCAAAGTTCTGCAGTATCCACACAGAAAGTTCTGTGATTGTAGGATTGTACATTGCCTTTTGTAAGATTGTAAATGCCTTTTTGTTTTGCTTTTGTTAAAAGCCAAGCTCCTCTCTTCTTCCATGAAGCTTACCTAGAAGTGCCACAAAATTTCTCCTATTGCTTGGGTTCGTGCAATTAATGCTGCTGTTGCCGTGAATTGGATTGTCTGTTATGATAGATGGGAATCCTGTCGTGTCTCAGATTTCCTGTTTTAGTAGGACAAGTTTCTAAAACCTGTATGCGTATTGTGAGATGGTCAGTAACTGAAATACAAGGTGTATAAATACACGTATTATTTTGGTGGAGAAGCAGTTCAGGAAATATGTTTTGGAAAGCTAGAAGTTTTCGGTAGTACAAGACAGGTGACTTTGAATTTGGCAAGTAGTCACCATGTAAGAGAAAAGCTGCTATTTGATGATTATGGTTATTATTAAACAGTAATTACCAGATACAAATAAATGCCTGGTGATAGCAAGACATGTAGGTAGAAAAGGAACACTACATTCTTTTCCTTTCATCTAGGTGTAACTCTGAAGTACTTTTATATTATGAGTAGCATGAAAGTAGTGTTATTCTGATAGTACTATGTAGCTGTTGAAATGTTCTAAAGAAACTTTGAACAATTTGTCAAGGGAATATGATGAAGAGAATGTATGGGTAATACAGTCAGGATTATGGTCTTACTTAGGTTAACTATTTAAATTTTCTTTAGATTTATTGTATGAATGTAAAGGGAAAAAAATCCAGAATTGTCTATCCTATTTTTGGGTTTTTTTTGTATTTATGTGCCATAAAGTCCACATTAATTTAACATAAAGATGTATTTGCTTGATATAACAAGAAAAAACCCTCGAGTTTTGTTTGTATTTGCAGACAATAAATGTGAAACTTTGGAAAGTATTTTGAACTTCAAATATTGTACGTTTGGATTAAAAATTCAGTAATTCAATTCATCTTTTGTATTGTGGCCTTTATTATAAATATTGACTCTTTCAGAATAACTTGATTTCTAATGGAAAAACTTGCCCTTCAGATATTGTTTTGAAATTTCTTGAAGAAATGCTATGACGTGTCTCACAGCAGGCTTCTCCAGGGAGTTCTGTTCTTATTTGGCCTTACACTAGTACCTTTCTTGGAGGACATAAGAAAAGAAGCAAGTACTGATTTGTAAAACGACAGGCTTTGCCTCCAGCTTTCACATACTTAGGTATGAAAGAGTCAGATACTTAGTTTGCAGTGTATGGAGAATTTATTACTGCCAGCTTACTGCAGCTGTGCTGCAGAGATGTCATCAATCCAGTAAAAGACTGAAGCAATTCAAAGTCATTATTAAAGTTCTTGCTGAGTTACTGAGCCACAATCTCTCCAACAATTGCTTCTGTTTTCTCAGAAGATGTGTTGCTGAAGCTCTAGTGAAAAATACAGAGAGGTACAGATGTGTGATGAACAAGTTTTTCCACTTTGGAGTTATTCTTGGGAGAACCGAGGTGTCTTAGAAGAACAGCAGCAAAACAGCATGTGATGATTGTGTATAACGGCACAATGAAGTCGTGTAAGAAAAGATAGACTGGTGTCATTTGCAGTGTTTTGTATGTGTATATTCTTACAGTATACAACTTGATAGGCCCCAAAGGTGGGATATTTCAGTTGTGGAACACAATGAAAATGTATTAGAAGAGCTGTATTTAAGGACATTTTGTTACAGGTCCTTAAATCTTAGCACAAAAAAGCTCTCTAAAATGCTTTATTCAGGCGATCATACCTTTGATAAGATTGCAATTGACATTTAGAAACAGTATTTCTAGCAGCAGTATGTTGCCAGAACAGGCTTTAGCGTTGTGATCAGATATTCCCAATTTTTCTTCAGTCACTTCTGTACAGCGGCCTCTGAGTAGGATGCCTCTATGTAGTAAGTATTTCCAAGCTGTAGTATGTGCCACATTACTCAACTGCAAGTCATTTCAAGTAGCCAGTGGACAACTCTTGGACTGCTAATAATGTGGTACGTAATAATGTATCTGTGTGATAGCAGCTGTAAAGGGGTGCCTGACAGTCATCACTCTGTGATGTTTGTCTGCAAGATGACTTCTGCAGATTTTTGAAAGTCATAGGGTTTTTTACTCAAAATTTAGCTCTGTGACTTTATTTAGCTGCTGTTTTTGAGAGTTTTGCATGCTTTGTGTAGGTAGGTATTTATTTCAGTGTATTTCAGCGTCCAAACCTTGATCTTTTTGGTCAGTTTTGTAAAAACAAAATTTAATACTCTGCTGAGAGTGGTAACTGGATGACAGCCGATGACAAAGTTGTAATAATTTCCATGCATGTTCAGATAATTTGTGTAATCAACTGATTAAAAAGAGATTATGGAAATAATCATGACTGAAGGTATCAGCCTATATCTTGTACTTTTACAACCTCTGAAATAAACTATTTTTCTTTTTGTATTTTATTTTAATATCTTAAATTCAATATAATGTGCACAAAAAGTAAGGCTGTTGCAGATTTCTAGTACATGCTGCGTACTTCCATAATGCATTTGACTGAGTGTTAAGGTGTACTGAAATTAAGTTTGTTTGCATACTTTGTGTGGGTTTGTCTCTTGTCTGACCTCCATAGTAGTTTTGAAGTTACAACTGACATCAACTGTAATAATACATGACTCTTTTTTTACAGAATAATCTATCTGAAGTTGAAAGTAGACTACGGAGATTTTTCACTTTTTTAACTTTAATGTTTTTTCTGTAAATTTCAAGTTTTAGTAAGTAGTTGTAGAATTTTTTTTTTACATGGACAGCCCCGTCAAATCACATTATATAACAGACTTCTGTAAGACAGCTAGTAAAAGTATTGAGAAATATAGTAAAGTGGTCTTTGAGTAGAGAACAAATGTCTACTGTAAGATTGTTTATGCAAAGAAGTTTTCTACATCTGATAGTACAGCACTTTCTTTGTGTCATCAGTTTAGTAGTAAGTTTTTTTCCAAATTTGCTGTATCGTGTTCAATGCTGTATTTTAGGGAATCGCATCTGTAGTTATGAGAGAGTTCTTTCTTTCATTCCCAAAGCTACTTTATGTATAACAATGTGTTTTTGCTTAGTATATGAAGTGGAAGGCTGAGGTAGCTGCCATTGGTGAACAGCGTTCGAAGGAGACACAGAAGTTAAACAAGCCTGAGCTTTGAATGTTGTGTGGAATGGTGTCCTGGGATAGCTTTGGCTAAATTGCAAGCCTTTAAATTGATTTTTTTTTTTTAATGGGATTTTAGTGACCATAAAAAGATGCTACCTGGTAATTTGTAAACCCTACATATTGCAAGAGATTTTCTGAGCAAAGATAGTACTTTGTATTGCCAACGTTTTTTGCTGGCTCAGCAAACTAAGTTAAAATGTAAATAGTTTTATGGAATTAGCTGTTATTTCATTCTAGTTTACAATAAAAATCTTCTATATGTACCAGTACATTACACTTCTTTAGCATTGCATGCCTGCTGCAGAAGACAGGGAATATACTGCTATTAAAATATGCACTGTATAATTACTACTATACTAGTTTATTTTATGGTAGAAACCAGGGAGCTCAAATGAAAGTCAAGTCCTGTTGGGAAACATTGTTCTCGTATCCTTAAGCTATGTGGAACAATTGCTTCTGGATGAATAATTGCAGTGGCAAAATAGAATTTATTTTTATTCCATTATTTGCGTTATGGTTCACTGGTATGCATGGTGTTGAATTCTGAATAACCCTTCTCTTTAGAAAATCTTGGACGAAATGTGGCATTCCAAAGCAGAGGGAGCAATCTAAATGAAGATGCTGAGTCTTGACTTTCATTAGTCATCTTTAGCAGTTATCCCTC